GCATCGTATAACACTTACGACCTTATGACTATGTAGCCTGAACATTTCACTATGATGGCTTCGTATTCCCCTTTGCTAGGCGCAGTTTGAGAAGATCTATGCTGTTCATCCTATTGAGCTCCTATACATAGCATTATAAGCATCTGTCTGATGAATATCGGCACACACTTCGACCACCGGAGATCTGGTCCATGTGCAAATCGGCTTTTCCGAGTGTAAGAGTCACAATTTTGAGCCATGTCACCGGGGCTCAGGCTCCAAAAGCTTACTTAGCTGCAAAAGCTTTCAGAATACAAAGTACGTGCATCATAACGTTGACGTCAAATTAACCCCCGAAAACCGGCCCTACGATAGAGATTTCTACAGTCAAAACATTAAGAAACGTCTTGAGATAATAAAGTTCCGGGCGTCAGTCCGACCATTTGGCTACTGCATGAGATGAATGTGTGAAAGCAAATGCCCTTGGTAAAATAAGTCTTAGTATTTTAAATATGTAATGTTCTCTCCGTGGAACAGCAACCCGGCTGTTAACCAAATACGGCAGGCTTTGATGATCATGATGAATCTTTTGGCAAATCCGAACAGACTACAGTCCATCGGAAGCAAAGACGCCCGGGTAGTGTCAGCTTGACTAATACCTGCAAATTAGTAATCATCGAATCGCACCCACTGTTTCCCATTAGCATACCAAGGCAAAATTTGCTCAGAAGACGGCTGCGGTTATATCCACCCAAAGCTGTCCAATTGAATCAGTCTTGTTGCATAGATACGGTAGGAAAAGTAATGTTCCCGCTGGTGACACAGCGAGCGGGGAAGTCGGGTGTATGGATATCATCATTTATCATGACGAAGGTGGCACGGCGGCTGATGCACCTCGTTTTCGTTAACCAGAGACTGGGGAGGTCTCCATAGTCCCACCACGCAGAGTAACCAATCTTGCTTCTAGTCAGGTCTCACAAATGGTAGCTCAAGTGGATGCCTTGGAAGACAGATCTACGATGGTAAGTTGATAGATAAGTTGCCTTCCTGCCTCTCGTTCGTCTATCCACTTCCTCTACGCAAGTACATGTGTCTCTGAACTACTTGGCCAAGTAATATAAGCCGGTCTCATTTTTCAGTCCCATTATGCCATCTTTCAATCGTATCGCCATCTACGGTCATCGAGGCTGGGCAAGCTCGAAAATAACCGAAGCCTTGATTGCTTCAGGAGCACCAATTCGAATCATTTATCGACCAGGGTCCGATATCTCAAGCCTACCCGCCTCCGTCGACTGTGTGGAGGTGGATGTCAACGACGAGAGAGCACTCATAGATGCCCTCCATGACATTGACATCGTAATGTAAGTATTCCTCGGCCTCGAGATACAATTCGGTTTCAGCCCATGCCGACCAAAAGTTCTGACAGTCTCAAGCTCCCTCGTCGGGCACGAAGGCGTTGAGCGACAACATGCTTTTGTCAAGACTATACCCAAGACGGAAGTCAAGCTGTTTTCGCCTTCAGAACTTGCGGGCAGATACGACGAACAAGGATTGAAGGTCGGCGTCAACAAGGCCAAGCGTCAAGTTGAGGAGGCCTCTATCGCTGCTGGTATACCAACGACGCTGGTATTGCTTGGGAATTTTGCCGAGTTTGCGCTGAACACTCCGTAAGATACTCTTCCATTGCTTTCCTTCTAACTTCTGCTTGGCTGACTAGAACATCGACATGGTAGTGGCATGGGCGTAGACTTGCCCGGTAACAGAATCGTGTACTCGGGGAACAGTGACAAGGAAATTGTGGACTTATGGTACGTCTCAGCTAATATCAAAAGACTAAGCAAAGTCAAATCCCTAACAATGTGACGTTTAGCACTAGGAACTACGTGGCCGCGGCATATGCTGCTATCTTCGCTTCGACGCCAGTTGCTCAGCTTCAAAATAGGTCAATCTCAATTTCGGAGCTGAAGGTCACTGGAGAGCACGTTGCTACTACGTTGGAAAAGAAGCACGGCGCTCCTCCTAGCATCTCCTCCTTGAGTCTCGAGAGAGTCAATTCCGAAGTCGAAGAAGGGCTCAAATCAGGTAGTCTCTTCACCCTGGCTTGGTACTGCCGTAAGATATGGGGCACTGGCCAGCAAGCCGAAATGGTTGGGAACGATATCTGGGAGGTCCAAGGATACAAGAAGGCAACTGTTGAAGATCTTATCATCGATGGAAAGCTTGAAGCATATCGCCAACTACCACCCCAGGTTGCCGAGTACTTTCAGGGAACATTTTGAATACCTCCCACGGTAAATCAATGGAATTGAAAATGAATGGTTTTTGTTTGGGGAGCCGTTTGCGTCATATATTAGGAGCGCTTGGAAAACGAATGAAATCAGCTTCAATCTTCTTCTTTGACTATGTACCTAGTGGATTCAATGTTGTCGCAACGCCACATGTGGCGCTGCCCATCTACTGCCGTACGATACCGCTTACTACGAGATGACTGCCCACTTCGTACGGTATATAGATACGACCGCTTAAGGGTCCCTCACTTAGAGGAGTCAAGCAACTTTCTACTATACATGTCTTCCACTTGGATCCTCGCTTCGTGATAAATGTACCTAGAAAAGCTTTCAAATTGCCTGTCAACTGATGATTCTCTATGATCCCCTTAGAACTAAATTAATCCAGGGACTTTCCATATCTTCTGCAACGGTAGAACAAGCAGTTGAACCTATCAGAGTCAATGCCATGGGACTAGTTAAAGTTCTTCTTGGCCTAATAGAACGGTGTTAGTCAGAAACGCTAAGGTATCCTGTTCGGTATAGCTTACCTCCTTCAGGTTCTCCTCGTTAGTCTTCTTGCCCTTCTTGAAAGTGGCATCGAGCTTGTCCAACGACCCCTTATCCTTCTTAGGGTCGCCAGTCAAGCCATTGACTGTCTGCTTCGCACCCTTCTGCGCATTCTCGACCTTTCCGAGTCCCTTTGTCAGGGCAGGGTCCTTGTTACCAGCGATCTTCTGATTCTTCTGGCGATCCTTAGTTGCCTCATCCAGCGCACTATTGATCTTCTTTTCGTCCTTCTTCAGGCCCTTGGCGTCGTTCTTCTTGGCAGCGTTCTGTGCCTTCTCAGTGGCAGAGATCTCCTTGTCGCCGGCTTTAAGATTATCTTTGATGCCCTTCTCAAGTTTCTTCTTATCAGAAGAGGGCTTTGTGTTTGTTGCCTTGGTGGGTGCTTTAGTGGTTGCCTTGGTGGTTGCCTTGGTGGTGGAGGATTTGTTGTTGGCGGGATTGGCTACTGGAAGAGCCACAGTGAGAGCAACCAAGAAGAGAAGGAAAGCGAGTGTAAGACGCATGTTTAATGATGTAAGGATTGAGGTTGAATGATTGTCTTGTGAGATTAAGTAAGCAAAGTGATAGAGATCCGAATCCTGTCGGATGTTATGGAAGAGACAGTAAAGTAATGATTGGGTGGTGTGATGACTGGAACAGAATACCGAATGCAGTTGGGTTTGCCGACAGTTTTATACTCATCTTCTTTGATCGACGCAAGATGCTGGGAGTTAGCAACTCAAGTGCTAAGTGACCGACCTCGTGAGGTGGTCCCTGGTGAAGCGGCATCTCAGACGACGTAAACGTCGCAGTCAAACCTAGTTTACTTGGCTGGAAAGTTCCGGCACTCAGTGATAGTGTAATCTTGACTTGATCATGCAGGCTCGAGCTCATCTGGTCAATGAAGCTGTCGCCAGCAGCATCAGGCGAGTCATATGGCTTACACTCCGACTCGCCTCCAACTTTCGGAAATCTGCCAACGCCAAGACATTCCCTGCGATCAGCGGATAATCACCAACTCTAATGTCCGTTGGGGAACACCCAAGAGAAATCGACTTCAGATGATAGCAGAGCAAGTTGTTTTAGGATGAAACTGAGGACCGCATGTCATTGGCGGGCGTCGAGCTGCAAGGACGACCATGATCGCTCCAAGCATGAATCGGGGGATCCGAGGGTATCGGAACCACAGCGTTGGGTCCGCATGAGCATGTCGACATCGGAAGGGTATTTGCCCAAATTCCCCGAAAAAGAGAGACTCGAAATAAACTTTGACTCGGGAACGTGTCGCATCCCAGATGGGAAGAAGCCGCCAAGGCTGCGACACTGGACGAAAAGCATATATTCAATAAGGGCTTACCAGCCAAGTCTCTGAGACGGCAGTCTCAACCGAGACCATTCAAACCCCAGATGCTTAATTCAAGCTTGACAGAATGGCGCCACAATATGTTCTGTTTCTAATACAATCAGATAGGCATTTCAAAGAGCCACACGATACGAGTTTAATGAAATCGATGGGCATAATAGAACTAGCATGCTTCGGCATCATGCGGGATCTGGTTACAATATTACTGAGCACCCAGCCTCAAGTACCAAATTTGCTGGAGGTGGCCAATGTGGACAGTACAGCCAGCGCGCAGAGTGGCCAGCGAGCGAAGATCGCAAAGGGAGTCTGGTACTTGAGCAAGGAAAGAAAGTTTAGGATGGATTTCCGCCTAATTATCAGCAGAACTTCGTCAGAACTTCGTCTGAAACGATATAACATGTAACAGAACTGCGTTATAGATGCAAGCTCGAATTCAATCTCAACTAGCAACCCACGCACCAGCTTTCGCGGCCTGAACCTGCCGCAATTCGGATTCGTACTTGAGGGAGTGATCATAAGTCCGAAGATGAGATCGGATAGAGACTAGCACGGGCAGATGAACCATTTACAAATACCACAAATCACTCAGTTATCCTCCCCGAAGCCTATCTCATCTGCCGTAGGCTTCCTGCCGTGGATCGACCAACTAAGCACTGTTAGCAAGGGTCTATCTGCGATTCAGAGCTTCTTCTTACACATTGAAGTATGCATGAATGCTTTTGTCGTTGAACTCATGGCGAACCTGGTCCATGAGCAGCAGAACTTCTTCCCTCGTCCAGTTCAACGCTCTCGTAAAAGGCGCCATGCAGAAGCCTTCCCACCCGGTTGTGATGTTCTCATTATTCCACAGTCCCAACTCCTTGTGTTTAGGGTCTTTAGGCCATGCGTTGGTTGGCCATCTGAATCGTTTGATGTAGACATCCCTGAAGCCAATGCCCCTCATCAGGTCTGCTAATCCTACAACATCCCGGAATGGTCGTCCAAATATTGCTGCAGCTTCTCTAATCATTTGAGATGACTTCAGCATTGCGGAATCTTTCCTCAACGTTCCGTCGTCGGACGTGGGAATGATGTCGAACTCATTGAGTTCCAGATATCCGCCAGCATTCAGATTGCTAGAGTTTGTTAGCAAGGAAGCAACGGAAGGCTCCTCCTGACTGACTCAAAGCATCTCTGTATGTACGTCTCCCAATCGCCGATGGAAGACGCCATCATGCGGCTATGGATATAATCAAACGGCTTGGCATAAGTCCAGGGTTCCTCAAGGTCATCTATCACGAATTTCACGTTCGGTCCCATGCTAAAAGCTAGTCAGATATGCCTTACCAGAAGAATCGAAACTGAAACGGCTTGACGACGTACTAATTTGGCCACGTTGCGGAAAGATCGATACCAAGAACCTGGCATTGAGCATTTCTGTGAGTTCAAATATCATGTAGATCGATCGGAGAATCGGACTGCTCACCTCCGCTTCAGGATGTTCATCACCAAACTCCATGGCCCATATCCCGCTTCCAGTGCCGAGATCTAGTGTCCGCCCAATTTTTGTACCTCTCTCGTTCAGCGGGGCGGACCCAAGCTTGTTGTCGAACATGAGGAGGAACATGTTGTGTTGTAAGTCTACTGTCCGTTAGTACAGTCTTATTGATAAATCTTCTCAGTTCCAAGACCACACCGAGTCTGTTTTTCTCCTTTTCGTCGTTGGGTACGTAATATTCTACAAACAATTAGCCTAAATATGTCTCAGGTCAAATATCTTCGCTCAGAACGTACTGCCATCTTTATACTTGTGATATGTTCGTCCGTTTTCGAGGCGGTAATCAAGCACTGAGCTTGCCACACTTGTATTGGATGATTCAATAGTACTCTGCTTCGGTATCAGCTAAGATGCACTGCGTGCTGAAGTTGGGGGCACGAGATCATGCCAATACTATCTGACTTACGTTGCCAGAGATTGAGCTGACATCTTCAGTGATCTGTTCATTTAGATAATTTTCAGTAAAGGTATAATCTCGTGGAGTACAAAGCGTTCATTGATACCTCCTGGTCGTCTACAATCAGATCTTCGTTGTCGTCCACTGGAGGCATACTGTAGAGTGTTGAGTTATGCTGGCTAGAAGGCTCGGCATTGGCGGCGTATGTAAGATGAGCCATGGCATTTATCATTCTAATACAGCAAGTGGACTCACTACCTCACTTATTTATGGTCAGGTGGTGAGTGTCGATGTTGGGAAAGGAAGCCGGCTGTTAATATCTCAATTGCAAATACCTACCAACCTTTCCCTCGGTTCGTGACGAGCCACGAGCTTTCGATCAATGCTTACCCCTCTTCTTCCAAAAATGAAACGTGGCATACAGAATCATGCCATTTCCAAGACTTCTAGTGGGTATTTGTTCCACTAACGGGCGTTCACGCATATGCATCAATGTGGCGGGCATTGTTCCAACGTCTTGGCCATCTTGCCACCATTTTGGTAGAAGCCCAGTGGTTAATTACGGCCAATTTCCTTCCGCTGCGAGAAGGCTATACATTCGAATCTCTCGCATTCAAGACTAGTTGTTCCGTAATGAAATAAGCTTTCTGAATTATTGAGAGAGGTTCACATCTCATCGTACCTGGGAATGAGCCAAATTTGAACCTAGGCATGCAACTTGAATTCGGCAGCAACATGTCACCGTTACCCGTGAGAGGTCTAGATTACCTTCAAGTTTTATAGAAGGAGTATGAACACTCTATCATAGGAGTGACGCGATTTATTAGCGGAAGGGTCAATGTACTAGTTGATGGAGATAGATACTGTGGCCTTGGAACTCTGCTCAAATCAGTTCGTAGCAAAATGAACTCGTCCTAGGCCAGACCTTCCTTGGCACGCCTCCTTTAACTCTTCGGAGATATCCCATTTTTTGTCAAAATTGCGGCCTCCGAGGAAGAACCACCTAGGACGGCCTGCGTTTTCCTCGTCAAATGCTTTGCGACCATTGAGCTGACTTGCACCTCGATTTGGTTCACCAGGTGCAAAATACAACATGTCCAAAGGCGCTCTCGTTGTCGTTGACGTACCGCCAAAATGAATGTCCATCCGACGTAATGACGGCATCCTATCAACAGCTCCGACAAATGATGTAGCCATGGCTGTAAACGTTTCTGGTTCGGGTGTGTATCTATACCATCGTCCCGGAAACTCGCCAGCCTGTCTAGACCATTCAAAATCTGGTTGAAAATCGGAGGTGTCGGAGTCATCCGAATCGAAGGTAGCGATCTTCTCGTCGTGCTCGAGACCATACCCACCATCATCGGCCAAGGCCTTGCTTTGGTCCCCGGTAAGCATGTATTTACCATCAGGCGTCGATGTTGAACAGTCGACGTAAAGGTACTCCAACGAGGGGCAATGGATATCTGGCTGGTTTTCAAGAGACCCAAACGCTACTGGCGATAAGATCCAGAGTGTTTCCAAGTGTAGTTGTCGAAGGGTGGGAAGTTGACACAAGCGGCGGATGCCTAGAGACAAGGTATCTGCTTCTTCATCATTACCCAGTAAAGATTCGATATTGTAGGTTTCGTCCATGGGATCCCTGTCGTCGACCTTGATCCTGAACTCCATCACGCTCGGGAACGATGTCTTGAGTAGGGCGTTCCCAAGGCAAGATCGGATCTCCCTGCGGGCACCCATCAGTCGGCGTGTCGGGAGGCTGAATCTCCATTCCATCTTCCTAGCAGATACAAGTGTGCTTGATATGGCGGAAATTGCGTCCGGGTGAAAGTTTCGTCCACCAGGCCCACCGTCAAACTCGAACTCAGACACACACGGCACCTGCGGTAGCTTTGCCAGGCCCGAGGCGGATGGTGATAAGAGACTGTGGTCGAAACGCAGGTAGCGAAAGTGGTCTCTTATTTGCCATATTGGCGCAGTCCGGTGATTGTGAGTGTTCCTCAGTTCGCCATCCTCTTCCATCTCCTCCACTAGCCTGTCCGTTGGCGACTCCACTGCGATTTTCAGGTTGATGCCAGGACCGTACCGTCGACGTTCCCACTTAGCCAGCCGGCAAAGAAAAGTCACAATAGCTCTTGTGAATATCGCGTCATTTTCCGCTGCCTCCTTGCTGCTCTGAACTTTCTTGATACGTTTGTGACTAATTGTTGGTAGAACGATATGAAAGTCGACATACTGCACATAGGCTCTTTTCTGTGGGTCTAGAAATGCTTGGTTAAATCGGGCGAGGCCCTCGGCGGTGCTCGGCACCTGTACCCGTACTGACGGCCCGAAGTCATCAATGACAAAAGTATGGAATTCGGCATCAACGTCCATGATTGAATGTATATGTTTTTGGATGGATGATGGAAGCAGTAAATGCCTAAACGGTTCAGGCGTCGTGTATTTCTTGCTCACGCAATAATGGGGAGTTGCGTGATCTCCACCTATACAATCGTACCACTTCAAAACGCACACAGAACCGATTCGGATTAACAATATAACGAAATGCAATTTCCCTTTTCCGGTCTTGGCTATTGTACCCGTATCTGAAGTTATCCATACTACTTTAAGGTGCCTATGCTATATCATAGAATGAAGCGAAGTGTCGATGCTAGTCGACAAGTGCCATTAAAGTAGCATCTTCCATTATCGTATTGCTTCTTTTCGTGTCTAATATCCCCTTCGGGCAAGCATATTCTTGTGACGGATAGAAACTCGAACGAAAGGCGGAAAAGGCAAGCCGGAGTTGGTGGTCCTCAATTCTGGTAATGTTCAAGTGAAGTCAGTCGAGTGACTTAAGCAAAGTCCTTAAAGAACAACAAGTTGGCGTTCCCGGACGTTAGCCGGTTCAGGGTTGGCAAAAAGAAGATTACTAGATACTTCCTCTATCTCCGGATTGGTGTTATCAGCTGACGAATTGAATCCGAATGGCTGTTCTTGAATATAGCTCCACCACTGATCCAAGGGATTTCCACCTACCGGCCTATTCAATTCCGGCAGTGGTTCATGTTAAGAGGACCAGTTCCGGCTTCCCACCGATCGGGCAACCGGCCCGGAACCGTCCGGTGTATCGACCGGTATTCGCATTCGGGAGTCCGAGCACTATCTGCCGATCGCAGGATTCCGAGCTAGCAGGAGAAAAACCATTATTACTATCATGGCTGTCTCGGTTAAACGGCATGCATGTACAAATCGCGCTACGAGCCAGCACAGGCACACAGAGGCTTGTCAGAACGTCGAAATCGGCATGTAACCAGCCAAGGACGATCCCCCACCATTCAATATGCCTCCACAAGACCCCCTCTCTGGAGTAACAATGGCATGTACTGTGAGGAGACGATCCGAGATGTTCGCTCAAGAGAACGACTCGCTCTCGCCGAAGCCGGCACTGATCTGTGATACTGCTGTACCGGTCTTTGCCGGACTGTAAACATTATAAGTGAAGATGAGGAGTTAAACGGATTTGTAGCAATAGTATTCCAACGCGCTTTCCTCATCTATGACCCAAAAGAGATTGAGATTTTGTCTAAAATGTGGCTGTCGAAAAAGAGTCTCGTTGCGGTAGGCTTTCTCAGCGCCTTGGGCCTGAAGCAGCAGGCCACTGCAGTTGAGTTATCGGGCTTCACAAAGGACTTATTCACCGAGTCCATGGATTTCTTGGATAAGATCTACGACCCTGCTGCCGGCTATCTTTATTTCTTCTACTACCCACTTGCGGCAGGAAAGCACGAGACACGATCATCAGTGTGGTACGCAACTGGCCTCCTGCAGCGTAACATTGGCGACGATGTGGCTCAGGCCACCAAAATTATCAAGAACGTAATCCGAGATCAGAAGAAGATTCTTGAGGAACAATGGTGAGTTGCCTTTACTATCAAGAGTCTCAAGATGATTATCAACTTACAACAGAGTTTTGTTCAGGTATGGCGACTACACTGTTTATCCAGAGGAGCCAACTGTTGGTACAGCGGCGTATCCCAAGAGCGTAAACATGTTTCTCCTCGTGCACATACCTAATTCGATTGTGATGCTGACCACTTTTTGAAGATCTACAATACTTGGGACCCTAATTGGCGAGGTTTTATTGGCACAACTCTCATCGTCATTTATGAAGAGTTTAGGCATCTTCTTTCAAGCGACGTCCAGGATCTTATTCTTGAAAGCATGTACAACAACACCATCGGAGACAGCTACCGTGTTGGTGGAGTTGATGATGACAATCTCTACCCTTCCTACAGCAACCCAGCCATCATGCGCGCCATTGCTACCGGGTGGACAGGTCATACTCTCAACAACTCAAATATGACGGCTGCCGGCGAACTGTACGCCCAAGAGATCTTGGACTTGTTTGACCGAAACAGCACACTCTCTGAATTTAACAGCCCAACGTACGCAGGGGTCAGCATCTATTCGCTTACCCTATGGGCCAAGTACATGCCTTCTGATTCGTCACTGATGGGCCAGCATGGTGCTCGCATGATCAAAGCCATTTGGGAATCCATCGGTTCCATGTACAATGCCAACCTCCGCAACGTTGCCGGACCATGGGATAGGACTTACGGCTTCGACATGAACCAATATGTCGCCATCATCAACATCTACATCTGGTCTCTCGTCGGTAAAGACAGGGCTCCTGGCATCTCACAAACCTGGAGCATGGCGCATGCAGACGACTTCGAATACGCGCCGCTCATCTCTGTCTTGGCACCCTTTCATGATGCTCTTGTACCATCGGACGTTGTGGAGAAGCTTACCGTATTCCCTGGCGAGCACATGTATGAGACGGCCGCTTTCTCGCCCCCTCACGATTCCGTTCCCCGAAATATCACGACCTGGCTGTCAGCCAACCTTACTATTGGAGCCGAGTCTTATGATGAGGACACACTCGGTGGTCCTCGCGAAGATCCTTCTCAATGGTCCACCGCAGTGGTGCAGTGGGCTAGAAACGACGGCAGCGTCGGCTATGCCGTTCTCCATGGCACTGAAGAGGCTTTGAATGTGGATGTTAGTCCTGGGCATCTCAGCTTGTCTTACCCCCGCGGCAATTCTACCAGCATTTTCACATTTCTTGTGAGCTCCAATCCCCTCAGCGGGAAGAGAGACATCTCTGGGTTCAACGATCTTGAAGGGATACAAGTCAGCGTAAGTGGCTCAGTGAATCCACAGCCGGAAATTGGATTCTGTGGCCTTGTTGGCGGTACCTGTTCAATCATTCAGTGAGTTCACTTCATCTCCAAAAGTCCCTCGGAACCTGGTACTGACATCAGGCAGTGGCTTTGAATTCTGGAACATTACGTTTGTGATGCTTGGTAACTCGAGTACAGTTCCATCAATTGAACTTGACATCAAGAGTGTCATTGGTTGAGGGTGAGTAGAGTTATTAAAGTGGGGTTGGAAAACGTTGTGTTGAAGTAAATATACTACACTGAGACAAATTATGGTTTCTGATTGTTTCCAACTCGACATTGATATCGCTGCTCTGGGTTCTTTGTGGGTGAGTGAAACCTCCACCAAAGAAACTTCTTGTCTGGTTCCGGATTCATTAAAGCCCCACCGTAACCTGACTTGCAACCCACAAAGACTATGAAGCGAAACTCAATAAAACCACCTGTGGTCAATTGCTTAAGTTATCAATATCATAATCAGAGCCGCGTATTACTCTTTCTTTGTCCTGTAGTATGTAATCAATGCGAAGCTTTCGGCGGGTCCCGCTGTTTAACTTTCAGCTAACGCCCAAAGAGGCCATCAATTACGCCAGTTAAGCAACTGATTCCTATTGCCAAGCTGCTTTACCGCCCGGCGGCCGTACATCATTATTCATAGCTCCCACCCTCAAGCTCCTGGGGGCGGGACTCCACCATCAAAGTGGAAGGTCAATGTTCGGCTCGCAACCCACGTGTTCTTCGTGATATCCAATCCCTAATCTCCTATCACAAGCGCCCCGATTACCCCGCGATGAGCGGCAGAACTCCGTTACGATTCAGGATTCGACGCCGATATGCTTACCTTCAATCGGCCGACATCCCCGAGGCGATGTCACATTGGCCCCGTCTGGGAGCCGGTCAGCGCAACCCTTAGCTGCCACGGGACTCAATGACAGGTTGGTGGCTTGGTGTGCGCCCCCCGGTTCCGAGATTTACTGCGAACTGCCGGGCCTATCAGGTTGCATCATGACGCCATGGGGTCACTATCAGAGTCACGATGATCACTTCCAACTCCAGACTTCACCTACAGCTGTCATCCGCGCAGGCCGTGGCCGCCGCTATCCCCTTGACGATTCCCTCAAGGCATCCAAGAGTTTTGACAACTCAATATCAGCTGCACAAACGGAGACCGGTGCGGGCCGAGGTGCTATAGTGGGCTAGTCAATCTGCAGGACAAATTGGGCAAACTTGCTCCAGACGTCCCAGCTTCCTCTTAGAAGACCGACGTTCCTGGTTATGCACTCGTCTGACTGGTCAATGGCACTGGATGGCAGGCGTCAAGAAGCCATGCACTGGCCGACATGGGGCTCGGGCCAAGCCTTCAAGTCGCACTGCTACACCGTTGGTGGACACCAATGGTCGATGCTGGCCCTGGCCCTGCGACGCATTGCAAACTGAGAGAGGGACTGAAGCAAACAACGACAGCCAAGGCTTGGCCCAGCAACCCTCCCGGCGCGTGAGGCGCGCCCATCTCGATCACGAACAGGTGCGAAGCTCCGCATAGTTGCGGGGGATGGAGTTGAGGGCATATAAAGTAGCTTCTGTTCCCCGACATCCAGCATCACGAGAGATCTTCAGAGCTCCAGACTTCCAAGCCCGACAAGTCCCTCCTGCTACTCAAAGCAACCCAGGCCCAGCAGCTGCCAACGTCCCCGAATTGTCGCAATGAAGGCCAGCCTCCTCTTCCTCGCGGCCTCCACGGCCCTCGCCGCCCCTCTCGAGAGCGTTCCCGTCGCTCGCAGCGAGATTGGGTCTTTCCCCATCGCCGAGCTTGAGGCTTACTACAATGCCGCTTACTCCGTCAAGCCCGAAGAGACCGCCGCTCTTAGCCCCGCGATCTCCAAGCGTCAGTACAACGGCGACACCTTCAACCAGCTCACCGACGGCACGGCTTGCCGCAAGGTCACTTTGATCTGGGCTCGTGGCACCACCCAGTCCGGCAACGTTGGTGAGGCCGGCTCCGAGGGACCCGTCTTCTTCAACGCCCTTGCCGGTCTCGTCGGAACCTCCAACTTGGCTGTCCAGGGTGTCGACTACTCCGCTAGCATTCTCGGCTTCCTCGCTGGCGGCGACGCAGCTGGCAGCACCACCATGGCCAACTTGGTTGCTCGCGTAAGTTTAAGACCCTTCATGCAGGTTATTTGTTCAAGCTAACAGGCTCTCCTCAGGCTGTTACCCAGTGCCCCAGCACCAAGATCGTCATGTCCGG